AACTGGCTGCTTGGATACCTGATGTTACACCTGGATGTCAGCTTGGTAACCTTCATCACCAAGAACATATACAGAAATCTGTGCATCTTAAAATTAACAGTTATTTTTTTTAAGGGATGTTAGAATAGAAGTCATTATAATATAACTGCTTTTGGCACAGAAAGTAAAACTGGCATGACAAGTTCAGATTCAGTCAAGGCCATTGCATTTACTTTCACACAAAAACTTTTAGGAAATGTATGAATCCTTCTTTTCTTCCCATCTAGAGGTTAAACAGCAGTACAAATGGGGATCTCTAGTTTTGCTTAGAAACCAGTCTAGGAGATAGCAACTCTGTCCTGTAAAAATCTTCTTGCTACAGAAACCACTGCTGCAAAACCTAGCATAGTGAGGATGTGGCCATTTACTCTTCAGGGTTGTCCACAGGTTTGACAATAATGACAGAAATTTTTTTTAACTAAAGAAATCTTTTTAGCAAGAGGGATTGGAAAATTTGATACTCACAGGACAGATTTTAAAACAAGAGAGACAGAGGAAAACAAAGAATAACCTACCTAACAAGTTTCAGTAAATGGATGACTGAACAGAGTTTAGGCAAGATGACAATGTTTATTAAAAGCTACAAAGGACAAGATGTTGTGGAGAGCCACGATTGCCAATATTCTGAAGAGACACAGCATATAGAAGGAAGTAGTAAATATTGTGTGAGGAACAAATTCTAGTCTACTGAAACAGAAAGGATACAGAATTATTAAAGTTATATTTCAAGGTATTGAGAATTTCTAAGACTAGGCAAATATGTGATAGAAGTTATGTTACTTTTGTAATTCTATATACACAACATTTTCAGCAAGGCACCTATTTTCTAATGTATATTTTGTCATTATGCTAAGTCCACTTGAATTTCCTCCTATGGACATAGCTATATATGGCTGACCATGAGAGACACATTTGAATAATTTTCTATTCTTGGTTCTAATAAAAATTAATTCATTGAACTTTCTATTTTTTTTACTTTATTATTTTTATGAAAATATAATAAAACAAATTATTTTAACTTAATTAGATAATTCTGTAATTTTCTTCAGCTCTGCTTCACTAATTGAGATTAAATGTTTACTATGTTAATATATGCAAATATTTTGCCAGCATGTTTTCATTGAGACATGTTTCATTGAATCATTTAGACAAGTTTTGTCTACTTGTTTTCAATTGAATCCTTTCATATTCACAGATAAGCTTTTTGGTGTCGTTATTGAAGGATGAGAGAAAATCTCCATGTTGATGCATATTTCTTTTATTCCAAGTACTTTCACCATTAGCACAATGTCATCATCAGGGTATTGCAATAAACAACATTCTGATGATGACATCTTTCTCTTCCCCTTAGAACTTCCTCATTTGTCACATTCTCCATCAATGGCATTCTCAACATTTGTTGGTAGAATCACATCTTGGCTGCTTCAAATGAACTTATGAAATTTCTAGAATGATCAAATTATTTGAAGATAATTTATCACATTTTTATTCAAGTGTCAATTTGCATAAATGAAGAATTAATTTTGTTTCTAAGTACAACTGGTTTGGATATTTTAGTATTACTGTGTGTTGTTGAAGTTCTTGAATTGCTCTTGGGATTCAGCCATTGTTAAAGTATCCAATGTTGGGAAGGAATTGGAAAACTGAATGCGCAAACTTCCGGGAATCAAACTTTCAGTGCTCTCTGTATTCAGCAGAATTTCCATCTCGAGAAATGCAAAGTAAAGAACAAAATTCCAATTCAGAGATTTGAATTGAACCTTCCATAAATGTTTGGACAGTTCAAAAATAACATCTTTTGTTGCACTTGAACAGAAAGCTAGCACCCAAAAACGTTTGGTAGCAAATGAAGCAAAAATCTTAAGTGAATAATGTGAAGGGAATAATAAAATGTACAGATAAATAAGTTGGCATTTAAAATGTGTGAGAGAGTGCAAGGTGTGTATTTCTTGACAGTGTGTGTTTGAGAGAGAAGATAGAATGGTCAGCCAGGTGCAAAGGTTGATGTAAGCAATTACAAGTGATTAGATTCAATATGAAGAATAAGAAAGAAAAATACTGAATAAAAGAAAGAAGAATAGTTGAGAGGAACTTAACAAGAAATTGTAAAGAAAGAAATGAAGAAAAATGAAATAGAAAAAAGAAAAAATGAAGAATATTGATGAAAAAGAATAATGAAGAAAATGGATAAAGATATATAACAAAAAGGGGGTAAGGTAAAAAAGAGAGGAAAAAGAGTAAAAGGAGAAGATGAAAAAAGGAAAGAATAAGAAAGGATTAGACAAAAGGAGTAAAGAAAAATAATGAAGATGTGAGTTAAAAAATTCTAAACAGAAAGAAGTTTAAAAAAAGATATGAAATAAAAACAGAAATGAAATAAAAAAAGAAATAAAAACAGAAATGAAATAAAAAAAGAAATAAAAAAGAAATAAAACAGAAATGAAAGAAAAACAGAAATAAAAAAAGAAATGAAAGAAAAACAGAAATAAAAAAAGAAATGAAAGAAAAACAGAAATAAAAAAGAAATAAAACAGAAATGAAATAAAAACAGAAATAAAAAAAGAAATGAAATAAAAACAGAAATAAAAACAGAAATGAAATAAAAAAAGAAATAAAAACAGAAATAAAAACAGAAATGAAATAAAAAAGAAATAAAAACAGAAATGAAATAAAAAAAAAAGAAATAAAAACAGAAATGAAATAAAAAAAAGATATGAAAGAGGTAAAACAACAAAAAAATTGAGAGATTTGTAAAAGCAGTAAAGAGGTAAAAAAGTGTAAATTAAAAAAAAATAATGAAAAAAAGATATTCATGAAAAATAAAAAAGGGAAAAGAGAATTGAATAATAATACAAAACAGTGATGAAGAAAATGAGGACAGAGAGAAGAAGAAAAAACCGTAAAAGAAATATCAATAAGTAAAAAAAGATGTTTGGTCATAAGAAATAAAAAAGCAGAGAAGAAAAAGAATCATCAGAACAAAAAAAAAAAAAAAGAAATTAGATTGACAAAGGTGAAAAAGAAAACTTAAAAAAAAAAAAAACAAGAATTATTAATGTTGAAGAAACAAAAAACGTGGGTGAAGAATGAAAAAAAAAAAAAACAAAAACAAACAACAATTATGATTCCATTGCCAGAGGCAAAAATGGCTTACAACAAAGTTATGGAGATAAAATCTCTGTCATGTTAACGATGATGACAATGATGATGATGACAGCCATGACAAGATCATCATGACAGATGTAAAGAAGTAAGGGTTGATGGTGACAGCAATCTGAGGAGAGAATTGGTAGGGATATTTAGCAGGCACTACAATGAAGTACTTCTGAGAGATTTGCTTAAATGGCAATGATGAAGGAAAGAATAGTTTGGTTGGATGCAGAAAAACCTGCAAAAGTGAGACGCGTTTCTTTGACACTGCTGAACAAAAAAAAGTATCTATCTGGCATGAACCCACAACTGCATGACTGGGTGGGTGCTACAGGATATCACCAAAGGAGGTCAGGTAAAGGTTGAAAAGGGAGGTGGCTACTTTATTATACTTTTGAGTATATTTTATTTATTTAAAAAAATTCTTACAAGCATCAATGAGTACAGGAGGTAGAGATTTTTTCCTCACATGTGCAGAGACAGGTGCAAAAATGCATATACATGCATAACTTGGCATTAATGCATTTAAATGTTTCTCTTGCTTGAATTTTGTTTATACTGATTATTGTGTCTCTCCCCTTCTTTTTATCTCTGTGTCTGTCTTATATATATATATATATATATATATATATATATAACTACCAATCAAAAATATTTGGCCACCCTCAGAAACTTTTATTTCTCAACATAAAAATGTTATTTTTAATGAAATGAGGTAAGTACTGGAATGGTTTTATTTATTATACTACATACGAGTCTTCATGATCCACATTAAGTACAAATTAAACAAAAAAAAAAGCACAAAAACATTCTTAAACTTTTGATTCATGAAAATGACTTTGGCAGCTATCATAGCTTCAGAGATTCTTGACATTTTTTCCACCAAAGACTGGAGGTAAACTGAAGATAGTTCTGTCCAGTTTTCCTGTGAGAGTTGCCACAGGTGATCCACACTTGTAGATTGTTTTAGCTCTGACATTTTGATCAAGTTTATCCCACACCAATTCAATGAGATTTAAGTTCATTGATTGCACCAACCAAGACATCAGTTGACGGATGTGCTGTCTTCTTTGTTTTAATGTACCTCTAGCAGAGTTTACTAGTATGCTTTGGGTCATTATCTTGAATGAGTACAAATCCTTGATCCACATTATATATATATATATATATATATATATATATATATATATATATATATATATAAATTGATAACATCTATCAAAATACATAAAATTACAAGAATTAAAACTATTTCAAGAGGAGCAGAATAGCAGTTTTTTTTATTTGTTGATTTTTATGGCATTAACAATTTTGGAGTCTAATAACGGTTTTTACAGATATAAGACCTATTTAATCTATAGCTGGGGACAATATCATTCATATTTTCTCAAGGATAGTTGCCTGTAAATGCAAGACCTGTTATTCATTACACTAACACCACATAAATTCAAACAGACTAGTACAATTATTTATTTATATATATATATATATATATATATATATATATATATATATATGAGAGAAAGAGCAACTAAAATAGAAATATATATATGAGTGTGTGTATGGAACTAATAAAAATAGTGCAGTAGACATTGTGATTCAGCTATTCACTGGGAATTCCTTTTGTACTACTCCAATTAACATAACCTCTAGTGTAGTTAAAAATATATCCCTCTTTACTAATTTATTTGTATATAACCCAATATATACAGACACGCACAGACACACGCACACACATATATATTTAATCTAAAAATAGCACATTGACTGCTTGTTGTAATAAAATGATGTTCGATGTATAATAGCATCAGGTTGAAACACGGGTTCACATATGATCACCGAAGTTAAGCAACATTGAGCCTGGTCAGTACCTAAATGGGTGACCATTTGGAAATACCAAGTGCTGTAGGATTGGATGCACAGGTGGCAGAATGGATAATGGTTCAGAATTGTTAATTGTAGAGGTGAGTTCCATTTCCAGTTGGGTTTGTTATATTCACTTGCATACAAATACCCTTGGGAAAGGTATGAATCCACCTCTTGTTCCTCCAGCTATGGGTTAATTAGTATCACTAAAAACCATTATTATCTAAAAAAAAAAAAAAATAAATAAATAAAATTTCATGCAGAATATTAAATGACCGATATTGGTTGATATGCCACTACATAAAAGCAACCAAGTATAATAACAATGCTAAAATTTATGCTAATAAGAAATATACATATATACAATTATATATGAAACCCAGAGTTGTACCACCAGTAAGGAACAAGATGTATTATTATTATATATATATATATATATATATATATATATATTTTGTTTGCAGATCTGAAAGATTGAAAGCTAATTTCATAGCTTTCATGAAATAAAGATTATTACCTTTATTACGGTATTTTAAGTGTTTGATATTCATGTATGGATGTATGTATGGATGTATGGTCAGTCAGTCGGTCAGTCTAATACCTTTCTTTTGTACACCAAATTCATTTTTTGAAAGAGTTATATACAGTGGCCTAAGAAAAGTTTTTAGCCAGGAGAAATAAACTGCATCCAATTTCAAAATTTTATTACATAATCTCAACTCAACATAAATAAACAGTATTCGGAACTAGTATAGAGTATGTCTTCCATTTGCTAATTTCAGTGATTGTATTCGATTTTTCATAGATTTGATCAAGTTATCAACTATCGTCTGATCCATATTTTGCAACTCCTTCAGCAATGTTTCTTTAAGGGTTGCCACTGACGTGATTTTGATTGCGCACTCCCAAAGTTTTCGGTCAAGGTGCTCCCAAACATGCTCTATTGGATTCATGTCATGACTTTAGTCTACCTCCTTGTGATTCCTTCCAGGCCTTTGCTACTTTGCTCGTATAACATGGCATTCTATCTTCTTGAAAAAGGTAGACATTCTTGTCAATCTGATTGGTTTCAAATAATAGTAGTAGTTCTTTCTTTAATATTTGACAGTATTTTGGATCATTCAACCCACTCATCAACAAGAATCAGCTCAGATTTCCCTCCAAAGCAGACAGTGCTCCACATCATTACTCCACTACCTCCACATTTTACAGTCACCTGCAGACATTCAGTGTTCCAAGTTTCATTCTGATTTCTCGAAACATTAACCTGTCTTGAATTTGAATATTGGCAGAATTTACTTTTATCTGACCAAGTTACAGACTGCCAAAATTCATAATCTTTGCTCTTGAATTCTCTCACCCAGTCCATATGCCTGTTCCTGTTAACCTCTGAAATCACTTTTCTTTGATAGCCTAGCTCTTTCAGAATCTTTCTCACCACATATGGCAACATTTCCATGCTGTTGGCAAAATCTTTGACGCTCTGACGACGGTTTCTGATGACTTCCCTATAAAGTGCCCTTTTCGTTCACTCAGACACAATGCTTGGTCTTCCTGAATGTTGTTCCACATGACAATGGCCTTCTTCATTAAATTTCTTGACAATATTATTAACCGTTTGATAATTAACCTGGAAGAACCTAGCAATTTCTCCATTTGACTTGCCACACTAATGCCATCCTATTATTTGCCCTTATTGAAATTCACTAATTTCCTTACTTCCACGAACTTTCATTGCTCATAGATGAGAGTAGCTTGATACTAACACAGTATTATCTGAAAAAAAAGAAGAGATGTTATTGCCCAAGCCTAAATTGATGTAATCAAGGGTGGCTAAAAACTTATCATAGCCTACAGTATATGATAAAATGATATTTGAAAAACTTATAATTAAATCAATTTGAAATGTCTTCAAAATCATATTAGTCCATGAAAGACTTAATATCTAGCTGAGCCACCAGATCAATCCAATGTAGCTCTACAGTCCTCGCTAAAAATGACATACATAGTAAATACCAATAACTATACTCTTAAATATAATTACAATATGATGAACAATACTCGAGTTGTATTCTTTATCTCCAATGTGGTAATTACAGTTCTCTATAATGCTTGTCCTTTGTAGCTCTTAATAAATTTTGTCATTTTCTGAGTTGTATTAATATTATTAAAATATCACACCACTAAATAAATTAATTTAAATATATTTCTAACAACAGATGTTATACTCTGAATTCCATATGGTTGCTTAATAGGTTTCAAATTAAGATTCTGACCAGGTCAAAATATATCTCCCTATGTTTTCAATTAATTTCAAAGTATTTACATATATATGCATGTTTATAATATTTAGTATATATTTTAGTATATATTATCATATTATATATATATATATATATATATATATATATATATATATATATGTATGTATACAATATTTAATAAAAAATTAGATGAAACATTTAATATTATGGATATGAGTTTGGATGTGTATTTATTCAAATCTACAAGTATTTATCTATATCAATATTTATAGCTGAAGCCAATTGAATCAATCTGATGTATAAATATGTAAATCAATATACACATTTGACTTGGTCCAGAATAATATGTACACTTCTACAAATATTGCCATCATTTCATCTATCTATCTATCTATCTATCTATCTATCTATCTATCTATCTATCTATCTATCCCTTTTTAGATCTGTTTATCTATACAAGAAATGAATGACAAAAATATATTTTGTCAATATGTGGAAGCACAAGAAATTTATATGGAAATGACAAAATTTTTCGTTGCCCCTGATAAAGATCTTTATTGAGTCTTAACTATTATTTTTCCTCACATGGGTCAGTTACTCACTATAGTCAGAAGATGCTTAATATATATATATATATATATATATATATATATATATATATACATATTTAGTTCTATGAATATGAGTTTGTAACCCTGGGTTTCATGGTTTTACGATCATCAGACAAACTGATTTATTTTTAAAAAATTGAATCTGTATATGTTAGTTTGTGTTTGATTATGTTTGATGGGGTTGAATTCTCCTCTCTGTTCGTTTTGGGATAACACTCATATGCACGCAGGCATACATACAGGTGTATGCATTATAGTTCACACAAACACACATATAAACAATGCAAGATTAGGCGCAGATATATATCCATGTATTTGAGCATACATACATACACAATTGTAATCCTAAAATGGATACAGAGGAGAATTTCCCTCCCACCACCACCACCACCACACATAATCAAATACAAACTAACATAAACAAATTTAATTTTTAAAAAACAAATCAGTTTGTCTGTTGGTCACAAAAGCGTGAAACCCAGTTACAAACTCATATCCATAGAACTGAATATGTTAGTTCTATCACTGATATTGAGCAGCATATACAATATATATATATATATATATATATATATATATATATATATATATATATATATATATATATATATATATATATATATATATATATATATATATATAATTTATGAAAGGAAATTAGGTAGAAATGCTGAAAAGCAATAAAATTATATAATTGTTTTAGGTAGAGAGCAATTGGGATAGAGGTTGTGGCTTATAAATGAAGAGTGTCATATGAAAAGAAGTGAAATTGAAACTTTAAGGATTTTAAAGATCTGAAGGTTCAGAAGCCGAATGTGATAACAAAATGAAAAGCAAATTGCATAAAAGAGAAAAAAAATAAATGTAGAATTATGGAAATTAGAAGAAAACAAAAATAAAAAAAAATGTTAAGAATTGTTTTCCTACTAAAAATTGTAAATTGTTATTTTATGATTGACAGGAAAAAAAGATGCCAAGAGCAAATAAAATTTGACTTTGAGAGAAAAATTTTAGAAGCCTTCACAGTGGAGCCATTGGCAATAGCATATGATAAGATACTTTGAATATTAACTTTTCTCTGCAAACATGATTTACTCATTTACTGATAATCTTAGAATAACTACAAGCTTTTGTTTACTGTTCCTAGAATTTTGACACTTATACATCCCACTATATGTTTTTTTTTTAACTAACTTAATTTTTGTGATCAAAAGTGTTAACCGTTTGAGCCCTTACAACTGCTTTATCAGTGGTAGAGAAAAATGACGTAATGCCCAGCCATTGGTTGAACAGTGGTAGAGAAAAATGACGTAATGCCCAGCCATTGGTTGAACAGTGGTAGAGAAAAATGACGTAATGCCCAGCCATTGGTTGAACAGTGGTAGAGAAAAATGACGTCATGCCCAGCCATTGGTTGAACAGTGGTAGAGAAAAATGACGTCATGCCCAGCCATTGGTTGAACAGTGGTAGAGAAAAATGATTTAATGCCCAGCCACCAGTTGAATGGTTGGTAAACACTTGTAACTATTTTTATATCTACCATGAAACATTTCATACCAATTATTTGCAAATTTTGACTCAGGAGCCCAGGCAGAAGTATTAAAATCTTTTAGGAATACAAGACTCAGAGGATTAAATACCAGTCCCTAAAATTATTCTGTAAAATTGCTTATTATAGAAAGTATAACTAAATGACTGTTCCACATCTGCTATTGTGATATGGTTAATAATCTGGTCTTGTAAACTAATATCAAATTTTTACTTTTATTAACAGCTTTATAAAACTGGATTTCAGTTCTAGATGATTTTGTCCAACAGCACTCATAGAAAAAAAAAAACGCTGGGCTTAAGATTAGGATATAAATAAAATTTGAATTTTCTTTCTTTTTAGAAAGAATGACTTGTTAATTTTAACAACTCCAAAACAAAACTGCTTTCTATTAATCATCTGAGAGACCATTTCTGCTTTCTATCAGCATGGCTGATGCTAACCTCCAGGAAAAGTGGAAAGATTATATTAATCAATTGCTAGGTCTGCTGCTGGTTCAGTGCCCCTGCTATATTTTTATTGATACTTGATAAAATCCAAATAATCTGCAATGTCATTAGTCCTTACCTGGCATTTCAGTTTCAGTCACTTTCCCATTGCCATAATGTAGCTTCCCTG